GCACCTGGAAAACATAAAATTATATTGTGGAGGAATATAATAGATTTTCAAAATCTACTTGTTGAACATATCTATGCAATTATTTTTATGAATGTATGTATGTAGTGTATATATGTAATGGAAGAAGGAAATGGATGTATGTAATGTATGTATGTATGTAATGGATGTATGTAATGTATGTAATAAATGCCATTATTATCTAATTAATTAATGCTAAGAGTAGCTAAGAGTGAAATAACGTTAATGTTAATTCTGTGTAACTAGAAGGGGAGTAGGATGGATAAACCCCCCATCAGTTTTCCAAGGGCAATCTTGATTTATTGTATGATACTGATACAAAACTCTTTAATGAAAATTGAATTTATTTGTTGCTCGTACGACGTACTATTTAGTAGTATTAACACCATTACGAAAATTATTAATGTGGAACGCATATTAGAGCTTTAAAAGTACCAAAATGTTGTAAATCAGAATACAAGTTATATACGCCTCGTAAATCTCACGTGATACGACATGGGAATCATATCAGACGAGGTCGAAATAATGGCTGATATTTGCTAATGCTGTTTACCTAGTTTTCCGACAGTAGCAGTAGTCTCGCTATGTTATACGAAACCACCTTCCCGTCTTACCCCGCCTTCCCCTCTAATTGTATTAGAATTGGGGGACTAACTCTCAACATTTCGCCATTAGTAATTTTTTATATAGTCATCAATATTGTGAGTCTGCAAAAATACTCTAGGTCTCTCGCAACAAATATAAGTTCTGGTCCTAAAATGAAGAAATAACTTTTACTGAGAGAAAACAATTGAACTTCTGTAGTGGTGCAGAAGCGCTTAAGTGCTTTCCTTGTGTTTAAATCTCTACCCCTGGAAGTGGCGTTTACCTTAAGAACCAATTAAAACAATCTAAAAAGTTAAACGAAGTTCTATTAATAAGTCTCCGTGAACGTTAGTCATTTTATGCGAGGTAGGTGCTGATTAAATTTTATAATTAGCTTTTGTGGTGTTCGCGGAAATCGTGGAAAGTCGCTAGCAAACGCTAACAACTTTGACAGCAATCCAGGGTTATTATTACTTAATATTATGATTGTCTTCTTTGTTAGAAAATCAGAATTTCAATTACTTTTTGAAGATCTATCTTGGAGTTGAATTTATCACAATTTGAATGTTCAAGAGGCAAGAGAATCATTGGCAATTTGCTGCCACTCAGAAACTGTTATCTTTGAAACCATATCCAAATAGCATAAAAACCTTAAAAGGAAAAATTTCTGTCAGAATTCCTATTGTATCATTTTTGGAACATGCGTGCGTGATTATTAATTAGCAGGCCTCAAATCAATTAACGCATCTTTATACACTATTAGTAACTTTAATAAACATAACCAAATACATAAATAAATAAATTTATTATATAAAAGTGTGTGTGTATTGTGACGTTCGCCAATAATTTCTGCACAGACAATGCACGTATGTATGTAGCAGTGGCGGCGCGTGGGTATTCGCACGTTCGCATGAGCACACACAAGTTAATTCGGTGAAATTTTTCCTAAACATATCTTAGCAAAAGGAGAACACAAATCCACTCGCAGCGTTTCCGACACTTGGAATTTCAAAACACGCGCCGTTCGGAAGCTGCGATTGCAGTCCGCCGCCAATGCCCATCGTGACAGCCAGCCGGCGCACACTCAGGAAATGCGATCGAGCCAAGGGCGTCGTGCTGTCGGGGGAAGGAGGGGGAACAACGGTGGCTGATGTACGGATGGAGCAGCAGGGCGGCGATGCGATCGCCACTACGCACAAGCAGTTGCCATCTGCGACTGCCTTGACATGTCGCGAAATGCAACACTCGGGTAGTACAAGTTTTTAAGAGAACTGAGTGTGACATTGAACGAAGAAAGTGTGAGATATCTCTCCACTTAAACGAGCTCTCATGCCTTCCAAAGCAGTTCTGCGCTAGCGCGCGAAACGCGAACACATTCAACTAACGTACAGTGATGCATTCATAAGTATTGTGTTATTCGAATGTTATACTCACGTTTACTTATGTTTTAAATAGAGTTGGAATTGCAAATCCATTCCGAAGCATGTGAAAACCCAAATGTATTTTGTAAACGTATGTAGTAAGCTACTTTTCAATGCGTTTTGAAAAACCGAAATCACAGTGTTAGTTTTTTTGTCGACTGTGTTCGTCTAACAATAAATAGCGTCGAAAACATTAAAATAACATCAATGAAAATATTACAAAAACAATTGCCGTAAAGAAATAGTGTTTACTGAAGCGACACAGACTTCGTGTATCGTCATACAGTTAGACTGGGTTTTAATACAGTTAGACCAGATTTTTTAAGTATTTGGTATAAACTTGTACTTTTAACCTTAAATTTGTGCAGTGAACTTATGGAAAATACTCTTTAGAAGAAGGGCGAGTAAAAAAGTTTCGAATCAATGAGTAAAATATAGCTCTTTACATCCTCTGGTTCTGAATCTGTCGGGTCATCTTGCGGTCACCCTAACCAAGTCGTAAATAATTTGGAGGGGTCCTTGCCGAGCGAAGTCGAAGCGGGTGTTGTGAGAAGAAATGATGCCAATCCGCACTTCTGATGAAAGGAGCTGTTCAGCATGCTATCAAACTTCATAATATGCTTTATTGTCGTTATTTACTGTAATAATGAATATACGTGTATGCTTATAATGTATGCCTGTATGTATGGTCATGTATGTATATGTGCATGTGTGTCATGTATGTGTGTGTGACTGGTGTGTAGTACAAAACGCTCACCCAAGCGCCCATGATTTCACTGTGAGTTGCTGTGAGTATCAGAGAGTGCGGCGCGCAACCGAGAAAGCAAACAAATACTTCGATTTAAAAGTGGGGCGAATTGCATCTTGTACAGCTGAGACTCGGTTATCCAATCGGGAGCTTGAATATCAATTTAAATTGTAACGAAGCTTCCAATTGGATGATCGTGTGCCAACAGCACGCTGTCAATTCGCCATACATTTAAATCACAGCAAACTACCCAGTCGGACTCTGCAGGCAGTGCTTCGGGATCTCGTAAAATGGTCGGTGCGGGATGAAGTAGTTCTGAAGCATCCTAGTTTTCTGGGTAGCCGCGTCTACGCAAACGGTGTGAGCACGTAACATTTCCGCTTGTATAGGTGAAACGTTTCAGCAAATGGCGAAAACACTACCGCAGTTACAAGTGCATGAGTTTACCGCGAATTGAACTGATTCCTAAGAATGCATTGTACTGTGTTAATGAACCGTGAATGCACGAAAATAAAAATAAAATTTCAAACTAAATGATTGATTTGGAGAAATGTGAGGATGTGAACTACCAGTGCAGAAGAAATACACGAAATGCGACAGTGGAAATGAATACGGAAACCGCCAGCAACTGCCGAGGCTTCCAACGGGACCCCCGTCCGCGCCGGTCGTCGTCGGGAGGAGACGGCTCCCCAAGGTCATCGCATCGGCACCGCTCCGCGTGGCGAGGTAGGATTTTGTGGCATGTTGTGTTGCGTGTTAGTTGTGTACGTTATAGCTGGTTGTTGCCTTCGTCATACGCTGCATAACTTACCTGGTTACGTAGGAAATATGAAAACAGTTGAATGATGCTACATGTTCCCCTACGGAGGGAATTATGAAAGGGAATAATGGGACCGAAATATGAAAAGACGACACGAGTGAAGTTAACATCTAGTTCATTCGTAAATAATTACATCTGAGTGAATAAAATTAGGTAAAATAAAATAAAATGTATGTACCATGAGCGTTAACTGGTTCTAATAACCTTGGGCAAGAAAACTCCCTCGGGCCAAAGGCCCTTGGGAGGAAATTCATTGTCTAATACCAGAGAAATAAATATCTAACTCTTCTAATCTCATGTAACCCAAGGATACAAATCTCAAAATATTCATGCACAAAAAGGGAAAAGATTGTTTCTTCGTTTCGAACAATGTGTCAGTTCCAATTCAGGCACGGGTAGTGGGAGCATCGACGATAACAACAGCAACAATAACAATAAATCTAATCACAAAATATAATTGTGGTTCGATTCTCACACACGCAGCTAGAGGTCTATCAAAATTCTTCCAGACAGACCTTTCCACAAAAATAAATGCATTCATCACCAGTACATTTTAAATTAAGATCATCATTAAAAATGAAAGTAAATTTGTCAAACATCCCTTTACAGTATTTGACTAAAACTCGCAGTATACATATGTGCGTACATGTGCGATTCCGTCACTCGCGCTCGATCACCTCCACTGCAACAATCGCGACGTATAAGGTGTCATTCAACGCGTCTCGGTCCCAGACGGGAAACTCTTAATTTAATTTTGGATCCAGCGAGAAGATTCAAAGACATTTTCAAAAACGTATTTTTTCGTGTTTTGGCGCTGTGATCTTAATGTCTGGAATTAAACCAACGCCTACTAAATCGATAATTTTGTACAGGTGACATTGATTAAATACCTGTAACCAAACATCAAACATATTTTTAGCAAATACACCGCAATTTTTTTCACTATGTTGGAAACACTGATGTTGGCATTTTTAAGAAACAATTGAATTGCCGAGTAAATTACACTGCAGATTAATTTCAATTTAGATTCGAATTAACGTATTTAAAAAATACATTTGCCAAAACCTATGAACAGCATTGCCTCGGACCTTATTTAACTTTAAGAATTTGAAGTGAATACGGAGAAAACAAAACTGAGAGTAATGCTAGAGAATGAATGAACATTATGTTCGACTTCTCACTTTTACGTTCTTACATAACTGTGCAACTATCGATTTTCAAATGAATGTGACCCACAACTTATGTTTATTAAAATCAACAAACACCTTTTTCACATAAATATACCAACCAGTCGCCTTTTAATGTTAGATGGGCATGCAATGCAAGATTCGCATACCAAACTATTAATAGAGCAATTGCAGAAGTAGAAGTGAACACAAATTAGATCGAGTTTGTAAACGTTTCAATTTTCTAAAAAAATAAGGGAGAAAAAAATATGGAAGTGTTAAGGAAACCCCGGGAAGAATCAAATGTAGTTGTAAAATGTGTTGCGACAGAATTTTCGGGACTGAATGGGAATGATTTGCAACATATAGCATTTGAAATAATGCAAATGTGCTATGTGCATTTTTGAGTATATTAGCAAACACGCGTAACAACAAAACTGAACATAAATGTAACTAATAGCAAAAGCTTGTAAGTATTTTTTACGACGATTATAATTTTGAAATTGCAGTATGACCAGTTCATATCCCGTATGGAGGTACACAGGATTGCATACAAGGCAATTGGGTGTTGGGAACTTTTGAACGGGAGTTTAACATTATCAGCTACTAGAATCCATTGGTAAGTCTAATAACGGAAACTAAAAGAACATATTTGAACTTCAAAACATTGCAAATATTTTATTGATCATTTGTGGCGATGTTTTCAGTCATCAAAATCCGCCCCCTAGTTATGAGCAATTTAGCTTTGTTAACAATAAACACGACGCACACTGTCTTTCGACTGTTGTTGTTGTTTTTTAAGTTTGAAGCTTTCTAACTTATGCGATAACACTCAGACGAGAGCATCGTCGACTATGCCTTTCAATAAATAGCAGTTAGAATTAGGTGGTTGATGGTACCGTCCTGACTAGTACCAAATTGTTTATTAGTTTGTTGGTCATTCAGTGAAGGCGTCTTCAATGGAATTATGCGTTGTTGAACTATTGTGTGTGTTTAATGAGAATTTATATTGTGGATACAGAAACATTGTTTTTATTATGAAGTAATCATCATCTGATGAGCATGAATTTATTAAAGGATATTTTTTTACTATAGAAGGTGCTAACACTATTTGTGTTTGCTATACACTTGTGTAAGGTGGGCCCGGAAAAAAGATTTGCGGGCATGCCCGCACTCATTTCGTTATGCTAAAGCATATAGTGTGACAAATTGACTTAAAATATATAAGGCAATTTTCCTCACAATTTTGTTAACGTGACTTGATTCCTTTCCGTTGGACCGTTGTAATGTCTCCGACGATTTAGCACGTACAGAGATATTGCATTTCAATGTTTTTTGAGTGTGTTTTGGAGGGAGAAAGATACTGTCTCCGTCTCACAGGTGCAAATCTCTCAGACTAAAAGATGTCGACGATTTCCTTCGACGTTTCTCTACTCTCTACACAAAGATGTTCCACATACGCTAGCTCCTTCGTTCTTTTAAAACTTTATCCTCAGTAAGATTTGTATCGCATCGTGAGCGCCTCGAGCAGCGATCGAGATGTTTTTCTTCTTTGTGTTGTTCACAAACAGGCCAGTGGCTGCACTTCTCTTCCACGATTCCTTTTTCCTCAGTATTGGATGCTGATCCATTCCATCACTGTAAGAAAGAAATAGTACTGTGTGAAGTACTAAGAAGTACTCGTTTCTTGAAGTTCTAGTTCCAACAGTGCGAATTACTTGTTTAATATCCAAATAGTTATCATAATGTGAACTACCCTCTGGAGAAAACAGGACAACGAAAGGCAAAATGTGTGACTGTCCAGATTTTCACAGATATTCCTTCCAGAGTTCCACGAAGAAAAAAATGTAGGAAGGAACTGTCGTTAAATTCTACTGGCTCCGTCTTCCTTACTGAAATTCGTGCGTTATCTCCCTGCTCGGTGAGCTAAGTAAATTGGCCTGGCATTTCTACCTTTGCATAGCGGCCGATCGAGGAAGATGTGCCAAGCATAAACAATTCATTTTTTTTATAATATGCTGATGTTTTTGAAAATGGAGACTTTTCTAGTGTTATTGATAACTTGATTATTTATGAAGTACTCAAACAGGAAATGCGTAGATACTGTAACCGCTCACCTAAAAGCATGGCGAAATTGCCTGCTCCGGACATGGGAGTTATTAATTCACGTAGTACTATGGAATAACTATTAGGACACGCAAATTGTTTACTTTTTAAGTTAAATTATATTTCATATATGTATGCACATCTCACGTAGCCGAGCTTCTGTAGAAAATTATTTTATTGTAAATGTATGTATTATTGATTCACGATTGAAGCTCTTGCAAACTCGTTCATCCCAGGATGTCGAAATCAGATATCTCAATCGCGAGAGCCCGGACCGCGGAGAATTCAGCCTCGCCGCTGCGTGTGTTCAACCGGCTCCTTTCCAGGGATTCGCTGAGAATTATTGCACCATTCAATTACTTGAATATGTTTGAAGGTACCGAAGTACTGATGGAAAAAGCAGAAGCGACAAAGTAATAAAATAAAAATATAGAAGCGAGCGGAGTCAGTTTGACTCCCGTCTGTCGTTACGGGTTAAAAGAGGTTCTGCAGCTGACAAGTGCAAGAAGGTGAAAGTAATTATTTTTACTTCTGTTTGCTTTTCATAACATTTTATGTTATATTGTCCTTGGGAAGTCTGTGTGTTCGTTAACCATACGGATACGTTATGATTCAAAAACTTTTTAAACTATTTACAATACAAGGTACATTACAATTTGAAGAATTAAAAACCCCGCACAGCCACATTATCTACTTAATTAGTAAATTACAAATACCTTAGTTTCAGTTGTATTCTTTCAATGCATGGACTCAGATTCGTTGACGACAGCTGGCGGCGCTAAGATGCAGGCGCGTCGCGTCACGACGCAGCGTCAGCAGCAGGCGACAAACCCTTCGCCGTGACCGCTCCGTGCCGCGCGAAGCTCGCACGCATTTCATAACTTCTTCATATCGCAATGTATTATATTATACGCGTGAGTAAGATTGCCCCAACGTTATTTCTACAATTCAGTGTCTGTTGTACGACAAACTAAGTGGTGTTAATTGCCCGAACTCAAAACATTCATGTCTCACGTGAACATCAGTGTCCGTGCTGCTGAACTGTTAATTTGCCATTGCAGTGACTAGTTATTGCTGTTCTCACTCATTTCCCAATATACTGTATTCGATGTTTGTGTTTGGCTGTGACTGTTTGTGCAGGCAATTGTTTAATTGAGTATGTGCGCATATTACACCAGCCACTTGCTTCTACTGGCGTGACAAACGAACGGCGCACTATCGATGTGGTGAATGTTCTTCAACTGCATTGCGAATCTGCTAGCTACACGGCAGACAGTTTCTCAGGATTTATGAAATGACTCTTTCGCATTCCTACGGGTCCGCCCAGAGCCTTCGTGCGCTTTCAGCCAGCGTGATGACCTCTTCGTCAGACATCCGCTGCCCCGGCGAGCCCAGCCCCCTATTGGCTTCGAGTGTAACAATCACCTTGTCTTTTCTTAGAGCATCACATGCTAATTCTACTGTGATTTTAAACATTTTCTTAATCTTAGCACATGCCATGTTCATGAACTGATAACCTCAACTTTTCTCATTCTATGATGGCATCAAGTTGAACTGCACCATCCGTGCATTTATTTAAATTCATGATTTGTGCCCTCACAAGGCATCACAATTGTGCCAACCTAATTTTCTTG